CAGAAACTCTGGTCCTAATTGTGATTGTTAAGTTGAGGACGATTTGTATAAATTGCTCTTCCAGTTGGCAAAAATCTGACAAGCCTTCAATATCCCAAGTCTCAGATGCTTGAAACTGCATCCCCAAGACTGGATCTGGTTTCAGAACAGCAATTGTGCAAACTTCTGGCTTTCCCAAGTTTTTGGTTTTTTTCCCCCTTCAATCCTACAACCCTTTGCATAGTTCGCTGAACTTACGGAATCTAAGTTGAGGAAGGTACTCCTCAGCTTACTACAATTGGGACCAGAACCTCTGTCATTAAGCAGTCATTAAGTGAGTCTTGCCCAATTTTATGACTTTTTTTGCTGCCATAGGTTCGCCACCATCAAGATCACGTGAAGTATTAATACCACTTTACAATGCCTTAGTAAGGCCACACTTGGAATACTGCATCCAATTTTGGTCACCACGATGTAAAAAAGATGCTGAGACTCTAGAAAGAGTACAGAGAAGAGCAACAAAGATGATTAGGGGACTGGAGGCTAAAACATATAAGGAACGGTTGCTGGAATTGGGTATGTCTAGTTTAACGAAGAGAAGGACGAGGGGGGACATGATAGCAGTCTTCCAGTATCTCAGGGGCTGCCCCAAAGAAGAGGGAGTCAAGCTATTCTCCAAGGTGCCTGAAGGCAGGACGAGAAGCAACGGGTGGAAACTGATCAAGGAGAGAAGCAACCTAGAACTAAGGAGAAACTTCCTGACAGTTAGAACAATTAATCAGTGGAACAACCTGCCTCCAGAAGTGGTGAATGCTCCAACACTGGAAGTTTTTAAGAAGAGACTGGACAGCCGTTTGTCTGAAATGGTGTAGGGTTCCAGCCTGGGCAGGGGGTTGGACTCGATGACCTCCAAGGTCCCTTCCAACTTTACTATTATTATTATTATTATGGATCATCGCACAGTCAGCCAGATGTTCAGACTGGATTTGGCATTTTGTCTACCTATCGAGTCCTTTCCCAGGACCTGGGATAGGCAGATGTGGATGTTTGATGGTATTACAGATATCGTCGCAGGATGGAAGCAGTTCCTAGTAAGGCCGCCTTTTGCANGTATTTTGTTATCTTCTCCAGTTCTTTCTCATCTATTCTGCTGTCTCCAGGCACTGCCACGTCTATTATTATTATTATTATTATTATTATTATTATTATTATTATTATTATTATTATTATTATTATTATTATTATTATTATTATTATTATTATTATTATTATTATTATTATTATTATTACCACCTTATGCCTCTCAGAACTTCCTTAAAGAAGCTGCATAATCTGAGGAATATAAACGTTGAGTTAACAGCGCACTGGAAATCACTCACGAAGATTCCTGGATTGCTATGCTAGCATAAACGCCTAGCTACTCCACCTCGTCGGGAAATAGAATATTATTAGAATCTGCTCGGTTATAATTTCGCCAGCTAGGGTCTTGCTCTCCTCCCAGCTATTGGAAAATATTCCATTTTATGACTGAGCAATGATGCAAAACCGTGTGATAAATGCTTTCAACCAGCTCAGTAGATCAGCAAGAATAGATGCAGAATTTATAGAAATTTCCCCCCACGGAATCATAAATGCAGTTTTAATAACTACCGGCAGCAAAAGCTGCTCCAAAGATATTAAAACTGGGAAGTTTTTCACTGGTTCAGCACTTCAGGATCCAAGATTAGTCCCTTTGCTGCGTTTGCAAAGAGAGCATTGGGCAAACTAGAGAAGGGTTTGCTCTGTCAACAGTTTCCTCTTTCCCACTTAAAACAAACTGGCTGAAGCTGGCTGAAAGAAAACCAAGAGGTGCACACTACAACACTTACATACCACTGCTTTGTCAGGAAAATAGAATGAAGCTGACTTTTAATGCAGCCCAATCCTTCAACCGAACCCAGGATCACCAGGCCGATGCAACTGTAAAGGGTTTCTATACCTTGACACCACTAGCACAGTGCAAGGCAGTCAAACAGAGTTGTGCAATTTTGCTCTCTTGCTTCAGAGACCCTGTTGCAAACCTATTTTGCCTTCTGAAGGAAGTCAAACTAGGATTCAAGCAGAATCCTTCTGTTACAATCCCATCTCCAAAAGAGCCTGGATACAGCTAGATCTCTCTCTCTCTCTCATTTCTCTCTCTCTCTCTCTCTCTCTCTCTCTCTCTCTCTCTCTCTGGATGGATGGATGGATGGATAGATAGATGATAGATAGATAGATAGATAGATAGATAGATAGATAGATAGATAGATAGATAGATAGATAGATAGATAGATAGATAGATAGATAGATAGAGGCAGCCAGCCACATAAAAACGGACTCTCGGATCCAGCATTTTATACCCTGACAATGTCGGTAGTGTGACCGACGAAAGCTTGGTTTTGTAGATTAAACATTTTTGTTTATGATTTTATCCTGGTGATCACCTTTATTTATTTTACATTTTATGTATGTATGTATGTATGTATGTATATGTATGTATGCATATGTATGTATGTATGTATGTATGTATGTATGTACGTATATATATATATATATATATATATATATATATAGAGAGAGAGAGAGAGAGAGAGAGAGAGAGAGAGAGAGAGAGAGAGAGAAAGAAAGAAAGAAAGAAAGAAAGAAAGAAAGAAAGAAAGAAAGAAAGAAAGAAAGAAAGAAAGAAAGAAAGAAAGAAAGAAAGAAAGAAAGAAAGGGCTCTATCCAGTCTCTCTCTCGATTGGGGCCACTTTTTTTAAACTTTGCCACACAAAGTGTCATGGGTATCGATAAAATCCCAAGTGGGCAAAAAGAAAATCATAAAGTTGGAAGGGATTAATTAGGTTACTGAGTCCAACCTTCTGAAGATAGACAATAAAAAGGAGCCAATTATGTCTCTTGTGTAATTTGTCCCATTATTAAACTGTTCTTATTATGAGGACTTTTTTCTGTAACGTTCAGTTGCTGTGGGGAAAATAGGAGGAGGAAGGGGTATTAAATACGTTCGCCCTCTTGAGTTGCTTATAAAAAAAATATTTTAAAGGAGGGATAATAAATAAAGAAGAACCTTCCTCCTTGTAACTTAAATTTACTATTCCGAGTCTTGCCCTCTGCAATGAGAACAGGCAACCTTTTCTGTGTGGCATTTAATTTAAACTTTAATTTCTAGTTACCCAATCATTCTAATTACTCTTCTCTGAACTGGGTCAGGACAGAATGAAAAGAATGATTACTTCCAATGATTTGGAATTTATGCTCCCATGGAGCTTTTGCCTGATTTGCAGCCCCATCCTATTGCTCGCTCACAGTCGGTTTGCGATCCACTATTATTCCAAAATAATTCTCACAAATACTACAGGTAGTCTTCAGCTGTGAACCATTAATTAAGTGACCACTCAAAGGTACAACGGCACTGAAAAATGCAACGTAGAAACAGTCCTCACATTTGCAACTGACACAGCATCCATATAATCACATGATTAAAACTGGGTCGCTTGGTGTCTGGCATGTATTTACAAACAGATGCGACATCCTGGGGTCCTGTAATCATTATTTACAACCTCAACAACCACCTTGCTGAAAAATGGAGATTCTGGTCTCAATTGTGCTCGTAAGTCGAGGACTACCTATATTTCCATCCCGTAGCAGTGCATTTTTCTTTTCTAAGTTAAGAATCTTGTACTTTTATTTCTTAAATGTATTACTTTCAGTCAATTTCTTTTTTTCAATCAGAAGGCCATCAGGACGGATGTTTCTAACAGGATCGATCAAGAAGCTCATAAACCAGGAATAAAGACCATTCCAATCCTATCTCCACAATCTGATATCCAGTATATCCTGTTTTATTCTAGCTTTCAATACATCTCTGTTGTTTCAGGTATTTACATGCTCCCTGGTATATTCAAAAGTAGACTACCTCTAAATGTGTGGGGACTCGTCCCAACTACTCTGCTAATAGCTATTGATATTCTAACTCACTTTTTATCAAGGTTGGCTGATGGAAGATGTGTGGATTTCAATTCCCAGAATTCCCTAGCCAGCATGGCTGCCTGGGAGTTGAAATCCACACAGCATAAAGCTGTCTATGTTGAGAAACACTGTTCTAATTTCTTCTACAAAAGTACTCTTTAAAAAAAAGCTATCCAAATTAAAGATGGTGCTGTACTTTGTGGTTCACACAAAAAAAAACAAATACTCATCACATAAACGTACTAGAGAAAATAGACAAAATTCAACAAGAAGAGTTTTCTTGTATACAGTGGCACAGTTATCTTGCGTGTTTGTGCTGTAAACATTTTAAAGATTCAAAAAATCACAAAGAAAATCACACGAATCCACACTTTCCCATTTATCCCCCTCCAATATGCATCTGTCAACATATTTCACATTTCGTCTGCCGCCCAGAGTTCACTATAGAGTTGGGCAGTCAAAAAAAATAAGACATAAATAAAGTGCATTAAAAACGGTTTAATTCTGCAGGGTGACACATTTCGGCATGCTTTGGGAGCCAAGAATGGCGTCTGTAATCTTTTAGAGCAGGGGTAGGCAACCTGGGCTCTTTTATGACTCGTGGACTTCAACTCCCAGAATTCCTCAGCCAGCCATGCTGAGGGGAAAGGGAGGTTTCCAAGCTGAGCCATGCTGGCTCAGGAATTCTGGGAGTTGAAGTTCACGAGTCATAAAAGAGCCCAGGTTGCCTACCCCTGTTTTAGAGAAAAGGCAACATTTGAAAGATAATTAACACAATGGAGGCAGATATTAGTATGGGAAGAACAGGTCAACGTGAGGTGGCCTCAGATTTTTTTTTTAACAAGAAGGAATTCCCCCAAAGGGGTCCCAGTCAGTTGGAACACATCCCATCCCAACTGGACGGGAGTTGAAACTGTTCAAAAAGCCGGATTGGAAAATAAAATAAAATAAAAATTAAAGAAGAGGAGAGGAGAGAGAAAATATACGAGAAGCGAGGAATCCAAAGGCCTTAGAAGAAGCATACAGTCCCTTACTTGAGGGGAGCTGCCAGGAGAGAAAGCTTGATTGGAGACAGGAGAAGTGGGAGACTGGTTGGCCGGGGAGCCAGCATTGCTGCGGTACTGCTGGAGTGAGCCCTACAGAAGGACACAGTGTTAGAGGCGGTGGGGGAACAGGAGGAGAGGCAGAGAAAATACAGGTTTCTTTCAGGTACAGGAGGGGGAGGGTGGGGAGGGCGGGGAGGAAAAATGAGAAAAGAACAGAAGGCAAGGATAGTCCTGGACGAATTCAGCAGCACACAGTACTGTCCAACAATGCTCGGGAGAAGTCGCGAACCTACGGACGGCTTCTCCCAAGGGTATTTTTTCCAAAAGGCAACCGGACTATTTTTCCTTGAGGAAGACGACGACATTATCCTTCTCATCCAAGAAGCATCTACAATGCAGGCAACCGGGTCTACAGCACGTCTGCGGCGTAGTCCTTTCGGCAATGCCGAGAAGATGCCAGACCCATTTGCACTCTGATACGGGCGGAGAAAAAAAGCCCCCAAGAGGTCTCAGAGAGAGTGCTTAACAACCAGATGACTGCAAAGAAAGATGAGCCGTCCAACAACACCCTCCCCGCCCTTCCTCTCGGAACTAATCCTTCTATCACAGGTGATGGCGAACCTTTTAGAGACCGAGTGCCCAAACTGCAACCCAAAACCCACTTATTTATCGCCGGGTGCCGGGTGGGCGTGGCCCACTGGGTGGGCGTGGCTGTGGTCATGGCAGACTGGGTCGGTGTGGCCAAGGTGGGCGTGGTCATCTCGATGTTGCTCGTGGGGAGGGACACCTGTGGGGGCTGGGCAGGGTTGGTGGAGATCCAGGGGGTCTCTGGCAGGTGGGGCGGTGGGCAGGAGGCTTGTCCTGCGGGGTAAGGCAAGGCAGGGCGGGGGTGCCATTGTCGCAGGGCAAGGCGAGGCAGGAGCGGCTGCTGCCTAACACTAGTCGGCCCCCGCACACAGAGGCCAGCGAGCGCCTGGGGGCCGACAGTATCCGTCAGCAGCCACAGCCTGCCGGCCCCTCGACTGGCGCACTCTGGGGCTCCGCAACCCACTGCCATCAGCTCAGAGAAGCCACCTCTGAGCTGGACGGCCAGCCGACAGCTGAGGAGGCAATGCAGTGGGTCATGCCCGGGAAAAGGAGAGCATGCGAGACTAGGAGGGATGGGATGGGGGGGGAGGGAAACCAGCTGTGCTGGGATGCATCCGGCCACGTGGGACCTCGGCGAGTTAGCGGGCGGCTGGTTGAAGAGGGACGGTTGCCATCTCAGGGGCATGGCGCGCGTGCCGACAGAGATGGCTCTGAGTGCCGCCTCTGGCATGCTTGCCATAGGCTCGCCACCACTGTTCTATCACCTCCACTGTCCTTCCAGAACCGATGAAGCTTCTTGGATGAGAGAAGCAAAATGTCTTCTGGAAAAACAGCCCAGTTGCCTTTTGAAAAAGCACCTTTGAGACAACCCGGATGACTTGAGAATCTCCACAGACTAAAAAGGGCTTCTGTTATAACCCAGGATGATTCCGGTTGCTTGTTTTGCAGCTTTTCTTCCACGAGAAACAGGGGAAGACTGAGTAACCACAATACTCTGAAATCCCAGCTTGGAGGGGGGGGGGAAACAACTCCTTCTACTTCAGCTCTTGTGTTTCTTTCGTATCTGTGCAGCAAATAAGGCGGAACGCATTGACCTGCACAATTTCTTTTGTTTTTCAGAGGAGCCTGTGGAAATGATTACGGGACTCACCTGCATTCTCATGCCTGTGTTTGAATTTGCAAAAGATTATTAGGTGAACAGTCTCCTCCTCCAAAGGATGGGATCAAAACGCTTCAATGCTGCATAGGCGTATTAAAATTTTATCTGAAGGATGGCTGGTTTTAGCTTGGTTGACAGATTCAGCTTTGACAGAAGGAAGCAAGCCTTGCTCCAAAGATTATTGCTCGGGAAACTTGTGCGGACTAGTAGGGAATTGTGAAGGATTCATAAAGCCAGCCTCTCCCCATCCCGTGTGTGAGATGCAGAACAGGCACAGCAGTTCAAAATGGCAAAGTATTTAGAACGGCCAGTGTCGCAGGAATACAGTCTTTCTAAAAAAATAAAATAAAAAAAAAGCCACCAGACATACCTAATGCTAGAATATGGAAGGCAGAGAAACAGGGAGGCAGCATTCTGTCACACACAGAGCCCTGAAGTCACTGGTACCTTGGCTAGTGGTTGTGTCTAAATATCATTGACATCCATTGTTTACTGCAGGGGCAATTTATTCTGGGTGAAAGCCACACTTTTAAGTCAGGGGTGTCCAGCTGTGGCAACTTTTAAGACTCGTGGACATCAGCTCCCAGAATTCCCCAGCCAGCTATGATTTTTTGATCTTAAATGATTTTGCAGGTTTAGGACACAATCAAGCTGAACAGATGTGATTTAATGTGAGGCATGTTTTTTTTTCCTGGGAAAAAACAATTCCACCCATAAGACACGGCTCCAGGGCTCATTTCAAGCCGTTAAATGTGGTTCATAGCTAAACGCTACGAAGCTACAATTAACCTAAAATGGAAATTTCCAAACTCCTTGGAAACGGAAGGGGGGGGGGGAAAGTCTGCATAAAACGGGGAAGAGGGAAGCAATCATCCATCCCAGTTTAAAAAAAAAAATGGTTACCTAGGTGTGCCAAATTAAAAAAAAGCTTCTTTGGGGTTGGAAACAAAGAGCAAATACATTAAGCAACTTTGTGTGTGCTCGGCTCGAAGTTAATAGTCACTGAAGCTTCTAGCTAGCTAGATCAACGTATCTCAAACACGGACACTTGAAGATGCTTGGACTTCAACACCCAGAAATCCGCAGCCAGCACGCCGGTTCGGGAATTCTGGAAGCTTGAAGTCCATTCATCCTCAAGTGGCTAAGATTGAGAAACATTGGATTCAGATGATTCGATCCCAAGAGGAAACTTCCATTATGGCTGGGCACTGATCTCACCTGGCTCTAAGGTTTTCTGAACCCAGGCTGGGAGACTGCCTGCTAGCAAGAGGAGAGGTATGGAAAGGATTAATGGGTGGGGGACTCAGAGATTGAGCTTTTTAGGGGAACTGCCATGACCAGCCACAGGTTAGGGCAGGGGTAGGCAACCTCGGCTCTTTTATGACTCATGGACTTCAACTCCCAGAATTCCTGAGTCAGCTGTGCTGACTCAGGAATTCTGGGAGTTGAAGTCCATGAGTCATAAAAGAGCCAAGGTTGCCTACCCCTGGGTTAGGGGACGGAAACATTTTCAGGCACCTGGCATCAAAAACTAATGATAAAACAGGACCGTGATCTCGTAAGACTGTGGCTGTTTATTAACTAGACCTCCACGAAGCCCAGCTGTGGATGAGATTGCAGGTGAGGTGGCATTTTTCAGGATACGTTGTCTATTTTACTCAGGGAAGCATTAAAAAAAAAAAAGGAAAAATGTCAAATCACTCCACAGTTGTTAGACTGGGTTGAAGGAGTAGACCTTCCCTCACTCACAGCTGGCAGCACCCGGTTGACCTCCTCGGTCAGGAGACCCAGGTTTCAGATCATAATTATCTTCATTACATGCAGTCAAGCTGCTGTCAACTCTTAGCAACCATCCACATAGATTTTCTCCAGGATGACCTATCTCTGACCTGATCCTTCGGCATTTCCAACAGTGCTCTCGCCGCCATTGTAACTGAGTCTATACAATGGACGACTGGGGGGGGGGGGGGGGAAAAACCCATTCTGGACAAACCATTTCTATGTTGTTGCCAAGAACAACTTAATATGGACATATCTGCGAAGTCATCAAGTTCAACTTGCGGGAGCTGTTGATTTCCCCTCTAGGTAGAAATTACATCTCAAACCTGTTCAAAAATTCAGGCTTTTGAGAACCGCATTTATCTCTGATTTCTAATCCAGTCCCTTCACAGAAGTCTCTATGACATTTGGAGGACTACGTTTTCCAGAGGCTACGGGGGGGGGAGGGGGGGAGAATGGCAACAAACCACCATATTTCTGCGCGGTTTCGAACCGCAACCTCAACGTATCCAAACCAGACACTTTTCGGGAGGCGGACGGCTCTGGCCAAGCCTCTTCTTGTTTCCTGCGCTATTGGTCTGAGATGTCTAGGAAGCTGGAGGTCTCAACTCTTTCCCATCAAGCTTACCGAATTGATGTCTATCCCCATGGAAGTCTGGGTTTGGCTGCCCGGAGGAGACTGTGGGATTGTGGAAGGGATAGAGACAGAGAGTGGGGGGAGCTGAACGCCTCGCTGCAAGCCGGAGGTCTGCATCAGAGAAGCATTGGGTGGTAAAGCACTGACCACTTGGGTCTGTGACTGCTGCTGCTGCTGCTGCTGCTGCGCGCTTGTCTGGGTGAAGAACGGGTAGGGAGGGAGCTGTTGTTCCATGGAGAGCGCGTCCAACGCCACAGCCTTAAGGAGAAAAGGACAGAAGGACATCATTGCAGTGGAATCAGATTTCTTGGCGTGAAGGCTTCAGAAGGAAACACTCGACTCTTATTACGCTAATCTTTTGGGGAGGCGGGAATGTTCCTATTCTAACAATCTGGCCCTAGGGACATATTATATGGAATGAGTGTGTACACAACATTCTTCAATGGTTTATTTAGCCATAGTTTAATAGAGGGGTCCTTGGGGCTGTCTGAGCTTAGCTCCTTTCTTGCAGACATTTCATTATCCAACTAGGTAATCAGTGCAGTGCTGGTATTACCCAGTTCAGTGGTGGCGGACCTATGGCACGTGTGCCAGAGATGGCAGGCAGAGCCCTCTCTGTGGGCACGCGTGCCATCACCCCAGCCCCGTCTCCCCCTCCTCACCAGCAGCCCCCCCAGAGGAGAGTCGCCCCCGGTGTGGCCCGCACGGAGCAGCGCAGCCAAGGACATGGCAGCCGGGCAGCAGGGAGAACACTCTGCTCTCGTGCACCATCGCGTGCAGATGATGCTGTGGGGTGCGGGCAGACAGCGTGGCCACCATGGTGCTGTAGGGCTGCCTGGGTGAACTGCTGCGGGGGCCGTAGAGGCGGTAGGTGGCCCTGCAGGCGGGCGGGGTGGAGACCGGGGCGGGCGGGGCAGTTTTTGGGCACTCAGTGTCTAAAAGGTTCGCCATTACTGACCTAGTTGGCTAATGAAATGACTGCAAGAAAACAACCAAGCTCCAAGCACACCAAGGACCCCATAGTAATAGTTCAACCTTGAGTTACAAATATTCTCTTCTATCAATAGTTTACTAATTATGCATTAACCTCAATTTCCTGGGCTAACACAACCTGAGTTGCAAACCATGATTTACAGGCCAAGTCTGGGATTTACAGGGCATGCTAAGCTCTAAATATGACTTACAAATTTATTATTATATTTGTTTGCCGCCCATCTTGCCTCAGTGACTATAGCTGAGTTCAGTTGATATGTTAAGCCAAATAAATCTTGCTGGGGCTTAGCCTGAATTGAGAACTGGGCCAGGGCAAACTCTATCTAAATCAATGCGCTGGGCACATTAATTTGTCTAACTGCCTGGAAATAGATTTGATTTTTTTTCGCAGAAGGTACAATTTAAAATGGGTCATTAATAACCAGATGCTGGCATTTTGGAAGGCAACGTTCACGTTAGTTAATGAAAACCAAAATCTGCAGGGTAACAGGTTGCCCATCGTGGTTTGGCGTTCCATCCTGGATCTGGCTAAATAACTTCAAACATGGACCAACATGGAATTATCACTAATTTATCCTTCCCATAAACCACTAAATCTACAATTCAAGGGGAAATTATGACTGAAAGAACATTATTGCCAGAGTTGCTATACTGGTAAAGCAGACATGTCAAACACAAGGCCTGGGGGGCCGGATGCGGCCCGCAAAGTGGTTTCATGTGGCCCGCGAAGCCATCCTGGAAACAGTGAGGGAACGGCCCCCGCTGCCTTGGCCCTGGCCCAGGCCAGCCGGGAGCCAATGTACAATTTTGTGGTGGCCATCTTGGCACTTGCCCGGGTGGACCATGCTTTGGCACTTACCCCGGTCCCACCCCCTTCTGCCAGAGACCCTCAGATCTGTCCCACTCCTGCCCAGGCCCCCACAGGCACCCTTGACGCGAATGTAGGACTGGCCACGCCCACCCAGTGGGCCACACCGACTCCATCCACGCCCACCCAGTAGGCTGCACCCACTCTGCCTCCCCACCTGCCTCCCCCAGGGCAACTGCAATGCTGATGTGGTCCTCAGTGAAATTGAGTTTGACACCCCTGTGGTGATCCAGTTTGGATCATTCATCATTGACTGGGTCTATGATGTTATTATACCACGGCTTTCAAGACCCCCTGGGAGAATTCCCTCTCGTACCTGAGTAATCGGCGAAAGAGGCGAAAGCGTGGGAGACACTTGCTGGGATTGACTTCTCCTTGAGTCGGTGTTCAGTGAGAGGGGACTGACAGTTGGTTGCCGGTGCTGCTGGGAAGAGGCTGACGTGGTTGTCATTCCTGCCACCAACAGAGAAAATTAGCAGGAGCAATGAGATTTTTCCAGATAGATTTCCAAAACTACAGGTAATTCTCGACTTACAACGCTTCGTTTAGTGACCGTTTGAAGTTACAATGGCACTGAAAAAAGTGACTTGTGACCGTTTTTCATACTTACGACCATTGCAGCATCCCCAGGGTTCTGTGATCAAAATTTAGACGCTCGGCAATTGACTCGTACTGATGACGGTTGCAGCGTCCCGGGGTCACGTGATCACCTTTTGGGACCTTCTGACCAGCCAAGTCAGTGGGGAAGCCAGATTCACTTAACCACCATGTTACTGACTTAACAACTGCAGCGATTCTCTTAACAACAGCGGCAAGAAAGGTTACAAATAGAGCAAAATTCATTTAGCAACTGTCTTGCTTAGCGACAAATATTTTGAACTCAATTGTGGTCGTAAGCCGGGAACGACCTGCAATGGTATTATAAAAGTCTTTTTCGGGGAATTGTGCTAATGGGTTGAAATGGGAAATCTTATAAGCAACTTCGGGCATTCATTTTGCCTCCCCGCCCCCCCCAGAAAAAAAAATGGCCTGATTTTTTTTTATAATGCTGTTTTTTTAAAGAGGTCAAACCATGAGTACTACCTCTGTTCTTATGTGGCTGAATCAGAATATCATTAATATTTCTATCACATCTTTTCTCCAGAGCTCGCAAAACAGGCTGAAAAACATCTTTCAAAAATATCATTGGGATCAAATCAAATTGAATGTTTCAAAGGAAGGAGGACCTGAGTTTTGTTCCTTCTCCCATCTCAGAGTCATTTGATTAGTGAAATGGGCAGCATATATATTTAATACATCAATAAAATCTCTCCGTTAAATCACTCTTTCCCAAACATTAAAATATCAATGATTATCAGGCAGCATGCTGAATAAGAAATCACAGTTGAACAAATCTGGAGGATTTCAGGCTGGGAATGGATGTAGTATATAGCAGGGGTTCCCAACCCCATGTCCATGGACCAGTACTGGGCTACGGCATGCCAGCAACCGGTCCACACAAACAAGCAAAGCCCCATCCATGGTATGCAGGCAGCACACAAAACCACGCCCACTCTGGTCCACGGAAAAACCTCTCTCCACGTAACCGGTCCCTGGTGCCCAAAAGGTTGGGGACCTCTGGTATATAGCATCAGGTATGTTCGTGCCTTAGGTTATTTATAAAAATAAAAAAAATCTAAAGTGAATTTCCCCCAACGCTATACAGGTAGTCCTCAACTTACGATCATAATTGGGATCAGAATTTCCGTTAAGTGAGTTGTGCCTGATTTTACAACCTTTTTGTCACCGTTGTTAAACGAATCACCGCAGTTACATGAATCACATGACCGTTGAGCGAATCTGGCTCCCCCCCCCTTTGACTTTGCTTGTCAAACACCTGCTGGGAAAAGTTGCAAATGGTGACCGCACGATCCCAGGATTCTGCCGTTGTCGTAAATACACGCCGGTTGCCATGTGCCTAAATTTTGGTCACACGATTGTGAGGCTGCTGCGATGGCTGTAAGTAGGAGGACCAGTCGTAAGCCACTTTTTTTCACTACAGCCGTCGTTACACGAATGGTTGTTAAATCGAGGATTTATCTCTACCAGCCTCCAAAGAAAACAGTCCCGGATGAAAATAAACATCCCGGACAAGACTGCGAGAAGATGCCGTCCCAGAATGCATCTGACTGTGCCTGCAAACGCCTTACCCTGATTGGCTGTGCTGATCCCCATGTGCGTCAGATTGGCAGTGAGGTTCCCGGTGCTGTTGGAACTGCTCAAGGACGGAAAAGTGGACTCTTCTGGGTCTAGCGGGGTTGGGAGAGGAGAAGGGAAGTGGATATTTGTCAGGTCCGGCAGTGATCCCCCTGTGTTGTGAGCCGCAGGGATAAGCGCAGTAGTGTTCTCTTGGTCAGCCGATGGAAATATGCTGCATTTATGACAAGAGACAGAGGGGAAAAAATGTTTGTTAAATGTGGGTCAAGATCTTCTGATTTATTGGAATTCACAGAAGTAAACAGGGTGTCTGAACCCAGTTATTGGGTGGGGTGGGCTTTCTTTACTCTGTCTTCCTGCGGGGTCTGCCATACTCCTGGCGGGAGGGAGAAGCGATGGGTGCTACAATATACAATATATCTTCTCCATTTCGCTATAGCTGCTACAATGTACCCTCTCCGCTTTCCTCTATCTGCCTGCTCTTTGATCTTAATAATAATAATAATAATAATAATAATAATAATAATAATAATAATAATAGTAGTAGTAGTAGTAGTAGTAGTAGTAGTAGTAAAGTTGGAAGGGACCTTGGAGGTCATCTAGTCCAACCCCATGCTCAGGCAAGAAACCCTATACCATTTCAGACAAATGGCTGTCCAGTCTCTTCTTAAAAACCTCCAGTGTTGGAGCATTCACCGCTTCTGGAGGCAGGTTGTTCCACCGATTAATTGTTCTAACTGTCAGGGAATTTCTCCTTAGTTCTAGGTTGCTTCTCTCCTTGGTTAGTTTCCATCCGTTGCTTCTTCTCCTGCCTTCAGGCGCTTTCCCTTACTGCCAGCCTGGGGTGAGAATGGAATGTGTCTCTGGCCATCTGCCTTATCTCTAGCTGCACGAAGACCTAACAGCCTAACAATCTTGGGAATGGCGTTTTATCAACCCTGGGTTCACACCTGGAGATTGGCCCATTTGAACTGACCAGATGGTCTATTGGGGTGGGGTTTGCCAGTTGCTCCTTTAACCTATTGATTCACACGGGAAACCCTCAGATCCTGCCTTTTGTGCCTGCTGTCAACTTCTCCTAATAAAAGTTCCTTTTGGAATGAAGCTGTTCCGGGGGTTCTGCTTCCTTGGGAAGAGGGATTGAGGCAGGTCCTTACACAGGGTGATGATTCCTGCCTGGAATCTGGATCATGACAATTTTATCTACTGCACCCTCCTTTCTTGCAAAAAGTAAGGATTTTCTTCAAAACAGCACTTACAAACAGCCACCATCTTAACAGAAGTTAGCTATCTAGCACAGTGGGAGTCTAAAAATAGATAGGTATTTAAAAATAATTTTCTAGAAACTGTTAAATCATTTTTAAAGATTTCTCAAAAAAAACCTAATCAAGCTAAGTGCCTATTACAGAAATTGGAGGGTTTCTACGAATAAGATCTGCCCTGAATACATCTTAAAACTCAGATCATATTTACCCCATAAAAAGTCTCTTGGGGCTTTTTTTTTTTTTTTTTAGCCAAAGCTCACATCTAGTAAAATGTTCTGGGTTTCTATTCAGCTGAACTTCTGGGCCACAATCATTTGTTTCTGGTTTGAAATAAAGCAACATTCCTATTTTGTGCACACCTCTAATGTCTCTATTACAATAAGAATGTTTGACTTGAATCACGGAGAACTGTATTAAGTGTGAATTGTTTGATGCAATTACAAAACTATATTTAACAGGGACCATGACTTGCCGTTAACATCAAAAACCATGGTTTGTTAATTCAGGTATTTCAGAAAATGTGCTAAGCCAAATATCAAAGAGGGATGATCAAATATCAAAGAGGGATGATCAAGAGTATCCTTGATACTCCTTATTGAACAGCAACTATTAAAATTATTGCAAGCCATTACATGGGGCTTTTCAGTTATTCCATCTACTAAAAACACATACACACAAAAGAACGTAAGATTTGTTTTCACAAAATGATGATACTAGCTTCATATTTGCCCAGAAACCAAATATGCCCTTCCCTTTAAACATACTTGATTCCTGGAACTTCACAAGATTTAGGCCTTGAGGATCCTGTCTGAAAGAGAACAGAGCACAGTAGGTCAGCATAAGACAGCTGTAAAAAAAAAAACAAATAAAAAGGTCATTATATCAAAGAAGAGATGTCAAGCTTGCTACCTGAAGCTCTGTCCCACCTGGATCAACCCAGACACCTGTACTACACCTGTTTATTTACTGAGGGAAAAAATGTTTCCGTGGAAGAATGGGAGATTCTCCTAGTCCAGGGGTTCCCAACTGGAGGTGCAAGACGATATTCCAGGGGGTGCAAAAACTTGGGTTTTCAAAATTATAGTGCCGTGGTGGCGAACCTATGGCATGCGTGCCATAGGTGGCATGCAGAGCCCTCTCCGTGGGCATGCTCGCCTTCGCCCCAGTCCTAGGCTTTCAGTTGGGTTTTATAAAACCCTTTCAGTTTAGGCCTCCGCTGCCGTGTGCAAAAAAAAAAAAGGTTCGATCAATCAATCAAAGTTGGAATTGATTGATTGAACTTTTTAGTCCCACCCAGTCTGCCGTTACCACCGCAGCCACGCCCACCCAGTGGGCCACGCCCACCCAATGGGCCACACCCACCCGGCACCCGACGATACATGAGTGGATTTTGGGTTGCAGTTTGGGTACTCGGTCTCTAAAAGGTTCGCCATCACTGTTATAGTGTATGTGCATAATTTGTTGCCGTTATTTCGAACTTTTGTAAGGGGTGTAAGAATATATCAGAAGCGTTCTAGGGGCGCGGGGTGTGGAAAAGGTTGAGAGCCGCTGTCCTAGTCCATCCTCTCCAACTAACAGCCAACTCTTTCATACTGTCAGGCGCAAGGAACAGTTCCATCAGCTGATCAGAGAAGTTTCTTTATTGCTGCTCGCCTATTTACAAGAATCTCACCAGACTGACTTCACTATTTTGAGAACAACCAGATGAGCGCTCCAAGGATTTAGAAAGGTGGAGAGTGGGGTAAGCTCTCTGTCACTTCCTCCCCTGCAGGAATTCCAAGCTAACTACTCTCTTAACTCCACCCCCCACTTCAGCTGTCAATTCCACCACACATGCCTCCACGTGAATAGAGAGAAAGCTGTGGATGGCAAAAATAATATTTCGGGGGAGCTGGGTTGTGAAAGAGGGGGATTTCTATGTTGTCCCCCTCTCCTTTAAAAAAAAACAAAAAATGACAGAAAGCCAAATAGTTGGAATATGCTGTAATTAGTAACACGAAATTCAATTTCTGATTGCTTGAAAATTAAAATAAAAAAGTGTTCACAGAGTATATTTCAGCCCTGGTTTATACACCAAACATACTATTCACTTTAGGAGTCTGAAACAGCCCCTTTCACTTCTATATATCTGCTGTACTCTTAGAAGAAAGCTCCACCATCTCTGACAGTTGCAATGGTATTAGTAGTTCACACACCAGAACCTCCACTTTGAACAGAATTAGTGCCAGTACCTTCTTAGTATCCCATCCTTGTTTTGAAAGATTCTTCTCGGTCTCTGATGCATCTTCCTCCATGCCTGGAACCGTCAGTAATAAGACTACAGTGTGAGAAAGAATATATCAGCCAAGCGTGCTCTGAAAATCTGCTTTCCTGGGAAAGAGGAGAAGGGAGTAGAGAGGATCCTTCATGGGGATGTCCCGTCTCCTTTGTTCTCAATGAGCTCTCTAACTTTAGAGTTCTTGTGCGTGCTAAAAGTGGAGGCAGTCTGTGTCCCCCACCTCACCTCCTCAGTTTCCGATCCCCAGATATTGAAGGGAGGGGACAAAAGGGATTCCCCCCATGATTTGAACAAAAAAAAAAAAAGACGCTTCAACATAGTTGAGGCCTCTGCTTTTATTAGGAAACAGTTTCCTTACATTCAAGCAAATGTTAAGTAGAAATCCTTTTAGAAGGACAGTGAGGGCAAAACTGGGAGAAGGCTGGTGTACGTGTCTACAGCCCCTCCACTCTTTAAAGCTCATTGTGAACCGAGTGGACAGCTGCGCGGGGCTACAGTGGGAAGGAAAGAAGATGAAGACTTGAAGATCAATTCACTCTTATCAGGAAAGTAAAAGCAGCCATTGCTCAGGTAGAGTTACATTCAGCAGAAAGCATTTTTCAAAGCTTCTTAAGGGAAGATCATAGCTCAGTGACAAAACTGTGGGCTTCTTCAATTTATATATGTCCTTGGTAACTGCAAAAATGCGAATCCCAGCCTATCTGTTCAATAACACAATCCTCGATCTCCGGGAGAGGTATAAATCAGCTGTTTATTGTTAAAAGGATTTTAAAAACAATAAAAGCAACTATTTACAATATTACAAAAACAACTTAGCTTTCGCTGGTCCACTGCCAGCGTCCTCAGAGGGAAGCTTAGGGGGTGGGGAGTTCTGTAAACCTTGCTAGCCTAACTGCTTACTCATTGCTCGTGTGATAGGGCCATCCCTCCTGGCTGACCGTAATTGCCTTAATTGTCCCACTCAATTACGGTGTGTGTGTGTGTGTGTGTGTGTGTGTGTGTGTGTGTGTATAATATATATTATCTGTTGGGTGAGGCACCCGGTTTACCAAATATAAATCAATCTGTTCTGCCCAGGTTCGAATCCTGGGCAGAACAGATTAGATAGATAGATGATAGATAGATAGATAGATAGATAGATAGATAGATAGATAGATAGATAGATAGATAGATAGATGATAGATAGATAGATAGATAGATAGATAGATAGATAGATAGATAGATAGATAGATAGATAGATAGATAGATAGATAGATAGATAATCAAGAAGTCCAGGAGAGCTGCTACCTGATAGCAAGAAACAAGTAATAGGCCAAACTTGGTGTGAAGTTCAGATATGATGGACACTAGGTTACCTACATCATTATCTGAACCTTGAGAAGAGCTGAAAGTTCAGAGATGTACTATTGAATGCTGATCCTCTCAGCATATCCCTGAAAAGCAGAGGAGTCTAGGAAGCTGCTTTGGGCTTGATCACATTACTAGGCCATCTAACACAGTAATGTGAATTTCTCTATTCATTGTATTTATTTGATTTATTTGGAGATGCAAGAATTTGGGGGGGGGGGGGGGAGAGAGGAACCCAATTATTATTTGCCACGATTCATTACAATGCATTATCTATGTCAGGGGTCTTCAAACGTGGCCCTTTTTATGACTTGTGGACTTCAACTCCCAGAATTTCTCAGCCAGGCACGCGTGCCTGGCTGAGGAATTCTGGGAGTTGAAGTCCACAAGTCATAAAAGGGCCACGTTTGAAGACCCCCTGATGTATGTTTTGTATAAACATAACCATTGACATACTTTTCAGTGTTTTCGGCGAGTCCATTTCTATTCTGATTCTTCCTCTTCGGGATCAAATACACATACAGCCAAAATAACTTCAGCTTTTGGACAGCATTTTTCTAAGGTGAAATTTCACAATCTTTGCTACATCTCTCCAATTCCTCCACACATACACACACCCCCCCAGCCTCTAGCGAAGTTTACAGGCAATCTTACAGCTTTCTTTATTTTTTTTCACAACTCCTGGATTGAGCTTGCTTATTTTTTTTAAAAAGTCACCTCTTTTTTGCTGCATATCCTGTGACCCAGCTGAGAAAGGCTCTGTCTGAGTGGGGGTCATTGTGCTCTGGTGCAGGGCAGAATCAGAATTGGTCCTAGTGACAAAGGGGAAGAAACCATTAAGATGCTAGCCAAATAGAAAAAAAGCATTCGCAATGTACACATTTTTTTCCACGGGAGGCAAAAATTAAGCTCCCCAGCTGCTAGGTATTCCTCATATTCTATAATATAATCTGCTGGATAGTTTATAGCCACAGTTTTTTATGAACTAATAACCAAGCATGATGCAAATGACAATAATGGCAAACTATAAGAGTACCTAAAAGGGCTATTGTCTTTACCTTCATGAGCACAGTAAGCCATTCAAACTGACTGCAGAGGTCTGTTCCAAACTCATAGCAGCTGAAGTAAAGTGGGTGATAAAAAGAACACTTTTTATCACCCACTAACTAATATCTGCTAACTTTTCTATCGTGAAAGTCCCTATTTTGTGCATATGTGTGAACAAGTGGGACATGACCTCTGAAGTAAATTTAGACAAGGATAGAGAAAGCTCGAACAGCATTCTTCAAAATGAAAAAGGTCTTCTGCAGTCACGACATAAGCCTAAGATTGAAAATCAGGCTTGTCAGATGCTATATTTTTTCTATCCTGCTCTATGGAGTAGAGAGTTGGTCTCTGACAGAAGGCCTGAAATGTGGATTTACAGGCAGCTGTTACGTATAAGCTGGGTTGACAAGATCAGAAATGAGGGGGTGATAAGCCGCCTGGGAAAGCCAAGGGAAATCATCAAAACAATTAAAAAATGAAAGAATATTTCGGACATGTGATGCGACACCTAGGAAAATACGGGATACTCCATTTAATCCTCCAGGGAAAGACTGAAGACAAACGAGGTCCAGTCAGAAGAAGAATATCATGGCTTCAAAATCTAAGGGACTGGTTTGGACAAAACTCAGCAGCACTTTTTCATGCGGCTGATAAAAACAGGATCGCCATTTGTCCTAAATGGTGTAGGGTTTCCTGCCTGAGCAGGGGGTTGGACTCGATGACCTCCAAGGTCTCTTCCAACATCATCATCATCATCATCATCATCATCATCATCATCATCATCATCATCATCATCATCATTATTATTATTATTATTATTATTATTATTATTATTATTATTATTATGGATCATCGCACAGTCAGCCAGATGTTCAGACTGGATTTGGCATTTTGTTGTTGTTGTTGTTGTTGTTATTATTATTATTATCGCCAACATCCGATAACGGATATGGAACAACAAGAAGTGTGAACCACACTAAGTGAATTTATGAGATCATGTTTTTTTTATATAAGGTAGCTTTCTCCCTCTTCATTGCAACCTTGCTCCTTAGAATAACTGACTCTTTGGTTTAATGCTTCAGTGGTGGTTCCTGCCACTTTTATTTATTGTATTGACAACCAATTCAATCTCTGACAATCAGAGCAAAAATAATTAGACTTTAAAATTGACATACTCACAGCACGTTCTATTTATGGTTGCCCACTAAGTGCTTGCTGGAAACTTCAGTTAATTTTCAATGAGGCTGCCGGTTTCTTACATTCAACATTCAAAATATTGCTTACTTTTAGAATTTATGTACATTGAGATCGGAGTATGTGAAAGACCACAGTGACACACATATGAGGCTGCCCTTCTATTGATATCACCCTCAAAGATGATGATGATGATGATAATCATCATCATCATCATCATCAAGTTGGAAGGGACCTTGGAGGTCATCTAGTCCAACCCCCTGCTCAGGCAGGAAACCCTATACCATTTCAGATAAACGGTTGTCCAGTCTCTTCTTAAAAACTTCCAGTGTTGGAGCATTCACCGCTTCTGGAGGCAGGTTGTTCCACTGGTTAATTGTTCTAACTGTCAGGAAATTTCTCTTTAGTTCTAGGTTGCTTCTCTCCTTGATGAGTTTCCATCCGTTGCTTCTTGTCCTGCTTTCAGGCGCTTTTGAGAATAGCTTGACTCCCTCTTCTTTGTGGCAGCCCCTGAGATATTGGAAGACTGCTATCCTGTCCCCCCTCGCCCTTCTCTTCATTAAACTAGACATATCCAATTCCAGCAACCGTTCCTTATATGTTTTAGCCTCCAGTCCCCTAATCATCTTTGTTGCTCTTCTCTGTACTCTTTCCAAAGTCTCAACATCTTTTTTACATCGCGGTGACCAAAACTGGATGCAGTATTCCAAGTGTGGCCTTACCAAGGGATTGTAAAGTGGTATTAACACTTCACATGATCTTGATTCTATCCCTCTGTTAATGCAGCCTAGCACTGTGTTTCTGAAGTTCCATTCCTTGCCTTCTAGAAAAAGGCAGATAGCAACTTGGAAGCTGTTTCTGGTTTTGTCTATCTTAGAAATGTTTAAGGACTGTCTTTAAATATGTGAAGGATTGTAATGAAAAAGATAGAACGGACTTGTCTTCATTGCTTCAGAGGGTGGAATTAGGTGAGGGACCTTGCTGGGAAGAAAGTTAAAAAAGCATCTTAAGTCAGGGAAATGTTTAAAAATCAGGGAAGTGCTACTGAAGCCGGAGGGTTTTCCTGCTGGAGATATTTCAACAGAGGCTACTTTGAAGACATGGAAGATGAATCCTGGAGTGTATAATTTGCTTGGAGTGCTGGACAGAATTAGATGTCCTCCATGATCAGGGGTAGGCAACCTTGGCTCTTTTATGACTCGTGGACTTCAACTCCCAGAATTCCTGAGCCAGCATGGCTCAGCTTGGAAACCTCTCCCTTTCCCCTCAGCATGGCTGGCTCAGGAATTCTGGGAGTTGAAGTCCACGAGTCATAAAAGAGCCTAGGTTACCTACCCCTGATCATAGAAGACATCTAATTCTGTCCAGCACTCCAAGCAAATTATACACTCCAGGATTCATCTTCCATGTCTTCAAAGTAGCCTCTGTTGAAATATCTCCAGCAGGAGGCAGGTTGTTCCACTGGTTAATTGTTCTCACTGTCAGGAAGTTTCTCCTTAGTTCTAGGTTGCTTCTCTCCTTGATTAGTTTCAGAGAGAGATATTAATTTCCTAAGATTTTAAAATTATTTCATTCTGCCGCTATGGTTTTTAATTTGTTTTATTAATGTTGTTTTGACTATGTGAAGTATTTATACTAACTGTTACCTGCCTTAGAGTAGAAGTAGTGAGGAGAAAGATACCAATTTTCATGAAGGCACTTAAGTTTGGAGTGGTAGATTGAGCCATTACAGATACACTTCAGGAACAACGACTGCCCACATTCCAACCACGGATTTAATTATGGTGGTTAGTCAACTGTGGTCGTAAACCATTACCAGTCCTAACCTGGGTTCTTATTTAATGCAAGTGCCTTATTTAAACTGTTGGTAAATTTAATCAAATAAGATATGGTCCAGGATTGGCAGTCCACTAGCTTTTAATGTTTTTACTATAAGGAGCATACAGTTAAATATGCAGACACATACCTAATCAGTTAAACTAATAACTATAATTGTTTTGTCAAAATAAATATATTTATTTTTTCATCCAAATTACATGTCGCCCATCTCAGTGAGTGACCGCCCGGTTGGCTGAATAAATTAGGTAGGTAAATAAATATTTCTTGGATGATATGATATATAATATAGTCTTTACTGGGCAAAAATATGCTTTTAGAGATTGATGTGTAAACTGAAAAATTAGACTTTTGTATTTCAAAATTATTGTATACATACCTTCTCCAGCTTGTATCTGAAGGAGGAGACAGATAGACAGTACCATATGGACAGCTATCCACGTAAATTAAGACAGTTAAGGGAGAAATATTTTTTAGAATGTTTCTTTCCCTCAAGAAATCTTTTTCAAAAAACCCCCCACATTTTTTGCCCTATTTGTTCTCTTCTTTGGGAAAGAAATAATGACTTGTTGTTAGTGTGATGCCATTATTTTTCCAGGTCTGCTGTATTCTCTTAGTGTTCCCAACCACTCAGGATCACATAAAACAATGATATATAACCAAACCGAAGTAATCATGGGGCCAACACTGCGGAATCAGCTAGAGCAGTGATGGCAAACCTTTTAGAGACCGAGTACCCAAACCGCAACCCAAAACCTACTTATTTATTGCAAAGTGCCAGGGCCGCATCAGCATTGTGGTGCCCTCGGGGGGGGGGGGGCAGGGCGGCGCCTCTGAGTGCCGCCTCTGGCACGCAAAAACCGGGGGCGCAAAAATGGGCCACCGTGCTGCAAGGTACAAAAATGGCTGCTGCTGCGCCGTGAGGTGCAGATACAAGGCGCTGCACCACACAAGAATGGGGCAGGGCTAGTGAGTATCACACAGGCATTAGCCCTGTCCCATTTGCAGCGCGTGCGTGCTCACGGCCCCGTGCACCCATACACGGATGTAAAATGCTTTCCCCTCCCTTTTCTTCCAGTCCACCAATTGACAATGGCTCTGCTCTACCATCTCTACTCAAGCTTGCTAGTCGGCTGCTTCGCCTCCTTTGTGCTGGGCGGGGCTCCTGCTCCAGGCAGCAGTGGCGGCCTGATGGACCTGCTGCTGGCGGCAGTGGCATGCGTGCCAAGAGAGAGGGCTCTGAGTGCCACCTCTGGCACACGTGCCATAGTTCGCCACCACTGAGCTAGAGCAAAGCCAATAGGCTCTATTTATATGTCCACTAAAAGCACAAAACACTGATTAAAGAACAAAGTGCCTTGAAATTCATGCTGATTAGCCCAGGAGTTGTTTTGAAACTTTGTCCTTGCCAACTTAATTTAATCACTCCATTTTAAAGAGGAGAAGAAAAAGTGTTTTGCCTTCGCTATTGTTCAACCCTTGCTCATCTAATAAAAATCATCTACAGATCTAAGAATATTCCTGCTTACCCCATCCTACTCATGCCACTTATCAAATCAAAGGATATCTGTCTTCCATGCTTATCCACAGAGAGAGGGCGCCGATGTGGTGAGCCGAGGCGATTCCTGTCACGATATACCCTGTCTACCAATCCATGGTGTCGAGTTGTCCTACTGGTGTCCAACCCAGATGGCTGAAAGGGAGTCTGAAGAAAAGACAGAGAAAGAGCTTAAAACGCAATCTATTGGATGTCCCACCATAGGATCAGGCTGCTGGAGGGAGATAAGTCTTGTGACTATCTCATCTCTGAGGAAATTGGCATTGTAAAAAGAGTGTGAAACCTCTAAAGCAGGGGTCTTCAAACTTGGCCCTTTTATGACTTGTGGACTTCAACTCCCAGAATTCCTCAGCCAGGCACATGTGCCTGACTGAGGAATTCTGGGAGTTGAAGTCCACAAGTCGTAAAAGAGCCAAGTTTGAAGACCCCTGCTCTGAAAGATTTAATATTCAGACGCACCTACAGGTAGTCCCCAACTTACAACAGTTCACTTACTGTTTGAAGTTACAATGACACTGAAAAAAAAATGACTTGTAACAGTTTTTCATACTTGTAAAGTACAATCATTGCAGCATCCCCAGGGTCATGTAATCAAAATTCAGATGCTTGGCAACTGACTCATGTTGACAACGGTTGCAGTGTCCCAGGATCATGTGATCACTTTTTGCAACTTTCTGACAAGCCCAGTCAATGGGGAAGCCAGATTTACTTAGCGTTGCTCACTTAACAACTGGAGTGAGTCACTTAACATCCGTGGCAAGAAAGGGGGTGGTAAAATGAAGCAAAACTGACTTAGCAACTGTCTCATTGAGCAACAGAAATTTTGGGCTCGTTGTGGCCGTACATCAAGGACTACCTGGGATTTATACGGACACGTTTAACTTTTGGTACAGGACATAGACACTGGTTTTCTACTGTTCCCCATCTGAGCAGAGCTGGTAAAATTCACCTGGAAGGACATGTCCATCGCACTGCTGCCAATCTGATTGACATTTGGCAAGGATCCTCCATAGTACTGGCCACGGCTCTGCCCCAACTGCAAATACTGGGTTTTCTGTAGCTGTAACTAGAAAACAAAAGATGGAGAGGTTAAGTGAGAGAAAAGGAGTGTTCTCGTGCTAATTAGGAAGAGATAACTGAAGCTTCCTGTGAAATCACATGAAGTATTAATACCACTTTACAGTGCCTTGGTAAGGCCACACTTGGAATACTGCATCCAGTTTTGGTCACCATGATGTAAAAAAGATGTTGAGATTCCAGAAAGAGTACAGAGAAGAGCAAGAAAGATGATCAGGGAGCTGGAGGCTAAAACATATAAGGAACGGCTGCTGGAATTGGGTATGTCTAGTTTAATGAAGAGAAGGACGAGGGGGGACATGATAGCAGCGTTCCAATATCTCAGGGGCTGCCCCAAAGGGGGAGTCAAGCTATTCTCCAAAGCCCCTGAAGGCAGAACAAGAAGCAACGGATGGAAACTAATCAAGGAGAGAAGCAACCTAGAACTAAGGAGAAACTTCCTGACAGTGAGAACAATTAACCAGTGGAACAACCTGCCTCCAGAAGTGGTGAATGCTCCAACACTGGACGTTTTTAAGAAGAGACTGGACAGCCATTTGTCCGAAATGGTATAGGGTTTCCTGCCTGAGCAGGGGGTTGGACTAGAAGACCTCCAAGGTCCCTTCCAACTTTACCATCATCATCATCATCATCATCATCATCATCATCATCATCATCATCATCATCATCATCATCATCATCATCATTATTATTATTATTAAATTTTCAGTAGATGGAGATGGTCCAAATTTAGTGCTGAGCATAATGAATGTGCAGATTGAAGGAGGTTCAGGTTCAATCCCTGGCTGCCAGAGATACAGCTATTAAGACTGACAGGTTAAGGCTACAGGTACTAATGGACAGACTTGGAATAAGGCAGTTTATTAAGGTTTATTGCTCATTGGCTGTTTCTTGTAAGCTGCCCAGACTCACACTGTTCAAGTTGGGCAGCCGTGTAAATTCTTTAAACAAACAAGCAAACCAAGAGAGATGTTTAGAGTTGGAAAGTGGGGGAAACGGGTGAAAAAGCTCAATCTGATCACTGACTCAAAGCTGAGCTACACCCACCTGGACTGTTGCCTGCAGTCATTCAAATCCATACTGCAACACGCAGGCTTTGCATTAGGGATGTGTCAGAAATGTAGAATGCATTTTGTTTTAAACCCAGAATAAACCAACTGAGTTTTTGGAAGTCCTGCTGACTGGCTGGGGAGAGGTCACAACATTATTTTGGGGGATGAAGGCAGTGGGTGAGTCCCAAAAGTTGGGGTAGGCAACTATGGGCTTCAACTCCCAGAATTCCTGACAAAGCATGACCGGTTCAGGAATTCTGAGAGTTGAAGTCCACAGATTGTAAAGTTACCGTAGTTGCCCGCTCCGCTCAAAAGGCATATTGTCAAGAAAGTATCATCATCCTACAGATCCTAGGAGAGTCACATTCATACCTCTAGATCAGGGGTAGTCAACCTTGGCTCTTTTATGACTCGTGGACTTCAACTCCCAGAATTCCTGAGCCAGCATGGCTTAGCTTGGAAACCTCTCCCTTTCCCCTCAGCATGGCTGGCTCAGGAATTCTGGGAGTTGAAGTCCATGAGTCATAAAAGAGCCAAGGTTGCCTACCCCTGCTCTAGAACCTCATGGGAGAACAACACATCTCTTTTTTAGGTTTTCTTTTAACTTTAATCCTAGAAAACACATGCACAGTGCATCATATCTCAGAAGCCTCGAAAAAAGAAACTTCCCTCCTGAACAGCACCCAGCTGGTAATAAGCAAAAACTGCCTCTTGATGCTGGTGCCTTGTAATAGACACAGCTGTGGTTGCTAAGCTTCTCCTGTCTTGTACAGAAAAACCCTCTTATCTCACTCTTACTATGCAACTCTTCACCCAAACAATGTGGTTTTTTTTTTTTAAAAAAAGGGGGTGTTTAGTGAGAACCGTCTTTCAAAACTTTAGATTTTTCTCAAAATTCAACCTGAATTTAAAGATCCCATAGATCTGTTGCAGTGCTTCTTAAAAGCCAAGATAAATTTGCTTTTAATGAATCTTTAGAACGGTAAGAGCAGGAGGAGGATGGGAAAACAATGTTGCTTTGATTTCAAATAATGCCACTAGCGTTGATTTCAAATAATGCCACTACTTTCTTTTCTTTAACATTCAGAAAACAGCAGGTTAACATTCACCAGCAAAGTTAACATTCAGAAAGCAGCAGGCCCAGATAACATCCCTGGGAAATGTCCTTAGGGAATGTGCAGACAAGTTGGCTTGTGTTCTTACAGATATTTTCAATCTTTCACTGCAGCAGGCAGCGGTCCCATGGTGTTTTAAGAGGGCCATTATTTTGCCACTGCCAAAAAAAGTCTACAATTACGGGCCTCAATGATTACCGTCCAGTTGCACTCACATCCATCATTATGAAATGTTTTGAGAGGCTGATAAAGGACATTATCAGTTTGCTTACTCTCCAAATCGCTCTACAGAGGATGCTATTTCTTCTGTTCTTCTCTTCTGCTCATCTGAGTTTGGCGCACTCAGAGCTGAGAAACACTTGTGCGAATGCTGTTTGTCGACTTCAGTTTGGTAGTTAATACAATCATTCTTCGGCATCTAGTAGACAAACTGGGCCTTTTAGGCTTTAGTACTCCTTTGTGCAACTGGATTCTTGATTTTATTGGTAGGCCCCAGTACGTGCGAGTTGGGACTAATATTTCTAACACCATTTTCGGGAGCGCACATTCTCCTAAGTCCACTGTTTTTCACCCTATTGATTCATGACTGTTGTGTTGTATTTGTCAGCAACCATATTGTGAAGCATGCAGATGATACAACAGTAGTGGGTCTTACTGAAGATGACAATGAAGGTGCTTATCGCAAGGAAATAGAGCAGTGGTGGTGAACCTATGGCAGGGGTGCCAGAGGCGGCACTCGGAGCCCTCTCTGTGGGCACATGTGCCGTTGCCCCAGCCTTGCCACACCCCGTGACCCCCTCCTCTCCAGCAGCCCCCCTGAAGGGAGTCGCCCCGGCCCACACGGAGCAGTGCAGCCAAGGACATGGCAGCCAGGCAGCGTAGACAAGACTCTGCCCTCACACCCCATTGTGCACAGTTGATGCTGCAGGGCGCGGGCAGAGGGTGTGGCCGCCATAGTGCTGCTGGGCTGTCTGGGCGATCTGCGGCGGGCCCTGGAGGTGGTGAGTGGTCCTGTGGTCAAGCGGGACAGGGCATGGGGGGGCAGAGGGGGGCAGAGGGGGCGGGCAGGGGGGTGGAGCGGGGGCAGGGCCAGTTTTTGGGCACTCGGTCTCTAAAAGGTTCGCCATCACTGAAATAGAGGGTTTGGTGAACTGTGTAACAGCAGCCTCCTTTTAAACATAGGAAAAACTAAAGCGATCATTGTCAATTTCAGAAAAGGCAGGCACAGCCACACAGCTCTGTGTATTAATGATTCACCTGTGGAGGTGGCTAGCAGCATCAAGTTTCTGGATGTGCAGGTAACGAGTAGGCTAACTTGGCCGCTCAACAGTGAAACTCTGATGAAGCAGGCACAGCGGTGCCTGGATTTTCTGCGTCACGTGAGAAAAGCACATCTTCCTTGCCCTGTCCTTACCACTTTCTACAGAGGACAATCAAGAGCATCCTGTCATAATGTATTGTCTGGTTTGGAAGCATTATAAAGGACCCCCTTCCTCAAAGTTTTTAACAACTATTTTAGTGATGGCGAACCTTTTAGACACCGAGTGCCCAAAAACTGCCCCCCGCCCCCGCTCCCACTCCACCCCACCCGCCTGCAGGGCCACCTACCGCTTCCACGGCCCGCCTCAGCAGATCGCCCAGGCAGCCCTGCAGCGCCATGGCGGCCACGCCGTCTGCCTGCATCCCACAGCATCATCTGCACGCGATGGGGCATGAGGGCAGAGTCTTATCCCTGCTGCCCGGCTGCTATGTCCTTGGCTGCGTTGTTTTGTCCGGGCCGTGCCAGAGGCGACTCTCCTCTGGGGGGCTGCTGGTGAGGAGGGGGCTGCAGGGGGAGGCGGGGCTGTGGGGAGGGCACGCGTGCCCACAGAGAGGGCTCTGCGTGTCATCTCTGGCACACGTGCCATAGGTTCGCCACCACTGAACTATTTTATTGTAACCGTTATTGGTTATACAACTGATATTACTTTCTTTTACACACACACACTTTCTTTTACACACACACACAGTCCCACTAGTTACAGAGAGAACCAAATACCTGAAAATACATTTCACCTATAGGTAGACGGGACCTAGCCTCTGCCCTCATTTTAATAACATTATATTGCATAGGGTCAATAAAATAAAATAAAAGCATTTCAACCTAGGTGCCTCAACATTTCATCTCTTAATTTAGTGTAAGGGGTGCAGCAAAATCGTCTGCATTTTAAGGCAGTCGTTTTAATTACCACTTTATCGTGCATGAAAATATATAAATCCTCCCTTTCAAAAAAAAAAAAAAGCAGCTGCTGACAGGTAGAACACCTGCTTGAAAGGCAGCATTTTCCTTCCCATGAACCATCAGACCATTTCATGATGCCCAGGACGCAGGTGGTGGCTCAGAGGAGAATATAATCCACCCCCTTGTTCTGCATCTTCCTGGGCAGGAAACTAAATCTTGCAGATCTACCTAGAGAAAGAAGCCCTAACAGAACCTCCATCTCTTTGGTCTGAACAGAAATTTGAGAATGCAGAGTCAAGAGAAGGTCTTTTAACAAGATGCGAAAAATTTCGGCTTATCTGAAGGATCACTCAAATGAACAATTTTTATCAATATGGAGAAGATGGATTGTTTATATTCAAAATAAGCATGGAATGGTGGAATATAATTTAGGTTTTTAGATAAAAAAAATTTTCTTTTTTTTTATATATTTCACCTACTTATGTAGAATAATATTTTGTGGAGTTAGGGATATTAATACTAGTTTACTTTTAGTTGAATAGTATCCTGGGATTAGGTTTGGGAAGTCCGGGGGTGGGGGGTGGGGGGTAGGGTTTTTACA